CTCATAAAGACAGCTTAGGTCCAATGAGAATACGGTGAGTTCCCATGTACTGATACTTCACAACTAAAAAGTCCTGCCTGTCAAGGTCAGTTATAAATGGGGCATAATTAAATGTCTAATAAATATCTAATGGTAGAGAATATATATTTTAAGTACTTTAATGCCCAAATTACTTTAATCTTGATTCCAAAAATGCTTCTACTAGTTATAAAAGGAGATATCTATCTATCTGTCCATAGATAGTTTTGTTGTTTTTCATTTTTTTGAAACAAGCACCTCGCTCTGTCTGCAATTGTGGGGAGTCTTGGAAAAAGACACATTGTGTTATGACATTGTGTTATGACAGTATAGCTCGTTAAATGGTGTTTTCCCTCCGTGAAGTTGCTCAGGCTGGTCCCACTGTTTGACACACCTTTCCCACCTTCTTGCACCTAGCTGACATCTTCATTTCTCAAGATTCAGCTGTAGGGTCCACATGATAACTCTCATAATTCTTACATTGTACTGAAATGATTGGTTACGTGCCTGTATCAACAGTACTACCGCAAACCCCATGGTCTGGAACTGTGTCTGCGTCATAGCTTCACTCCTCACACCTAGCACCATGGTGCCTGCCTGCCTCCTGACCCTCAGTTAAAAATCTGAACTGATCTGAAAATGAATTAGGTATTTTACCCAAACAGCAGCAGCTTCAGCTAAAGCTGTTTATTCCTTCAGGTGAAATTATTTTCTTTTAAGTTATAAGCTATATAAAATGGAGTAAGGCAGTTACCACATAACACAAAGGAATGGCCAAAGTCCTGCACTGAGACAAAGTAGTTTTTTGCCCTGTCTTGCTTTGATGGACCTAACACACCAGTTATAATAACTTGTGTACTTTCTCCCTTTGAAAGTATAGACATAGTTTAAAGATAGTTGAGTTTCTCAACATGAAATCAATTTGTAAATGTGCAGATAAGTTTCTCTTCTTCATTATTAAACATTATCAGACGTTTGGCAATCCCTAGTATCAAGCAGATTCGTGTCAATGATACAGTGTTATGCTGAATTTCTTAAATATTGGAAAATATACTCCACCATACATTTGCTGAAATAATATTTTCTAAGGAATAAAAGTTACCATAATGTTCCATTGTGAAACACTCCTTGGCATACAGATAATCTGCAGACAAGAGTAACCAAGTGCTCATGTGTGAAACAAAAAGTTTTCCTAGCCTAACTTTTTGTTTTTTGTCTTTTTTGCACGATGCTGGCTCTCCCACATCGGGATCTGCCCCCTTGTTTCCTCTCTTGTGATTGACAGCCAGCCTTCTCGCCCTTAGCAGGCCTCAGTCACAGTGTGGGATGAGGAAGCCAGGTAAAGCAGCACAGGTGCTGAGTCAGGCACAAGCTTTACATACTCTAGGTGAATCTGCTTAACATTTTTTAGTCTTTTGACGGCAATATTATGAGCAGAAAAAACCCTGTTATTTTAGTAATGGTTTAGCCAAACATCCTGTTTGCCCTACAGGGCCAGTTTAAACTTGAATAAATATATTTGAGATGCTAGAAACCTGAAAGGACCCTGGCTCAGGGGTGTAGCCTAAATTCCCAGGATGGGGCCATTTATAACTCCTGCTGTGGCTCGTGCCTAGAGGGACCCATCATCTGACCAGGGCTTTTCTGCCATCAGAGAGAAATAGCACACACAAAAGAAGTTGCTCCCCGGGTCTCTGGAGGTGGCAGGTAGCTGACTAAAGTTGTTAGTGCAGATGGACTCCTCAATTTGTGGTGACTTAAATCACATATAATTTTCATATCCACTTAAAGTCATTCCTTTTGAAGAAAAGACCTAGGAGATGATTTCCCTGGAGAGAGACAGGAAAAAGAAGCGCCTCAGAATCCTTTTCAGAGTCTGTCATTCAAAAAGTGAATTTTGGGGCTTCCCTGGTGGCGCAGTGGTTGAGAGTCCGCCTGCCGATGCAGGGGACACGGGTTCGTACCCCGGTCCGGGAGGATCCCACGTGCCGCGGAGCGGCTGGGCCCGTGAGCCATGGCCGCTGAGCCTCTCCCGTTGCGGAGCACAGGCTCTGGACGCGCAGGCTCAGCGG